CAAAGTTTCTTTAGCCATTTCTTTTTTGATAGCTATCTGGGTTGTTTCTATGTCTTTGCTAGTGTAGATTGTGCTGCTGTAAATATAGGATTACAGATCCCTTTCTTATACATGGATTTCATTTCCTTTGAACATATTCCCAGAAGTGGGAGTCTAGGTCATATGGCAGGTCAATTTTCAGTTGTCTTTGCACTCTGCATACTGACAGCCATAATGATTGTATTTGCCTACACTCCCTACCCCCAGTGTAGGACGGTACCCTCTCCCCACATCAATGCCAGCAGGTGTTGTTAGTAGAGTTCTGAATGCAAGCCAATCTCACTGGAGTTAGGCAGAACCTCAAAGTGTTTTTCATTTTTATTTCCCTGATAACTAGGGAGCCTGAGTATTTTGTCACCTGTTTATTGGCTATTTGAATTTGCTCTTTTAATATTGGTGTAGGTACTGATTTTCCAATAGATGAACATTGTATTCCCAAGATCGAACAGCATGGTACTCATCAGCAATGTATTATGAAGAAGCTATAAAATTCTTCATTTTAAAAGTTGATGTATAGAATTAAGATGGCAGAATAGGGTAAGGACACATTTAAAAAGACAGAAAAACATTTAATCAGGATGAAGCAGAGAGGACATATTTCAGGAAATAGGAAAGAACAGAACAACAGCAGAGGGGTACCTGGAGACTGACAGAAACAAGAAAGCAGCAGAAACAATGGTGTGGTGTTGCAGTGACTGATAATCCAGTGACATTCAGCTAATGGGTGATCTGTATTCCACCATCAGCCGGAACTCCACCAGCAACCAGGTGGGAAGGGACTTTCACTGAGAGCTGGGAGAGTGAACCCAAAGAACGGTCCATCCTGCTGCTCTGTTTGATTTGACCAAGAGCAGAGACAGAGCAGCAGAACCCAGATGGGCAGTGCGAGAACAGTGTGGATTTCATAGCACAGTCTGACACCCAGAGCTGAATTGGGCACCATTTTGAGTAAGGAGGCAAAGGCAAGGGAAAGGACTGAGCATACACTGGACTGGGAGTGAACTCATTTCTGACTCAGTGAACTAAAGCAACGTGGCATTCTAGAGGTTGCACCCAAGACAGGTCTGGGTAGCCCTCGGATCTGATAGCCAGCTGATCAAGAACTGCAGTAGTGGTATGTCAGGTGCCATTTTGCACACCGTGGCAATAGCTTTAGGACTGTAGGGACAACAGTGAACTGCACATGTCCGAGTTAAAGAGAATTTGCTGAGTTCCATGGATTGCACTGGACCTGCAGGAAAATAATACCGACTGTGGCATTGTACTGGTCAAAATTGGGTCCGTGTTGCACCCAAACCTAACGTCGCATGGGTTCCGACAAAATCAGCACCACCAATAACCTAACTACATAGGACACCTGGTGTCTCCCTAATCCTGGGACCTGCTCCAACTGGAAGTGTGAGAAAGGTTGCAGAGACAAGGGTGCAGCCTCAGCATGGTATCACAGGAGGTGGAGATTGATGAGCCAGGAGCTGGGGCTTTGGAGACCACAGTGGGAATCTGACATAAGAACCCAGACCTGAAAATCACTGGAGGTTGTGGTACAAGTGGCTGCAAGCAAAAGTTGTGTACCAACTGCAATAAGTAAAATTGCATTGTAGACATGTAGGTGACACAGCTTAGAAACCGGCCCCAAGGAAAATACTCTGCTAACCAGAAGTACAATGACCAAAAGCAAAAGAAGAGACTAAGGCACAATGAATGTTAGTGAAGTCTCCCCTGCAAAGAGTTGAAAATCTTACAATAACATCAATGTCAGTTTGTATGCACCTATCTATAAAACCTCAAAATGACAAAGATAGTTGATATATAAAATATACAGATGATAGTTAAAATATAAATCTTTTATATACTCCTCTATGTAATAGAAAATGTTTTAAAAATAATGACAGAACTGTGACCTGCTCTGTGGCATAGTAAGCTAAGCACCTATGACTCTGCCACCACATATGGGTATTGGTTCAAATCCCACTGCTACAGCTGGGATCCAGCTCACACCATCAGCTGGAATAGTGCCTGAAAAAATAGCGGGAGCTTTCCTAAGAGCATGGGCACCTGCACTGAAATGGGAAATTGAGATGAAACTCCTGGCTGTTTGCTTCAGACCAATCCATCCCTTGGTGTTGGGATCATTTGGCATGTGAAGCAGTGGATGAAAGATCTTTGTCTTTCCCTCTCTCTATTATAACTATGTCTTTTAAATAAAATCAAATTCTTTAAAAATAATAAATAGACAGATAGATAGATAGATAGATAGATAGATAGATAGATAGATAGATAGATAGATATTTTGAGGTTGGCCACCAATGCTGCTGGCATCCTCTATCAGGTACCCTACTTCCCATCAGGCTCCCTGCAGGTGACTTCAGGAAAGTGGTGAAAGATGATCCAAGTGTTTGATCTCCTGAAACACACACAGGAGACCCTGATGAAACTCCTGGCCCCTGATTTCACCTGCTGATCCTCCGGTTTAAGGCCATCTAGGGAATGAACCTACAAATGGGAGATCATTCTCTCTCTCTTTCTCTTTCTATTTCTCTTTTATTTTCAAATCAATAAATAAATAACCCTTTCTCCCTCACAAGAACTTAAGGAACACACAAATTAAAAGTAATCAATATGAGCTACACACAGAGACCTAAGATTTCAAAGTTTTTTATGGAAAATTCACATTGTCTATCCATTCCACCTAGTCAGAAACATTTTTTTCATGATTTGTTTATTTATTTGAAAGGCAGAATTAACAGAGAGAAAAAGAGAAACATAGAAAAAAGGAATACCCGCCCAAATGGCAACAACAGTCTAGGTCAGATATGTTGAAACCGTAAGATTCTTTCAGGTCTCCATATGAGTGGCAGAGGCCACACAAGCCAGCTACTGCTTTGCCCAGACCTTTATTAAGGAGCTAGGATAGAAGTGCAGCAGCTGTGACACGAACCAGCATCTGTATGACATGCCAGTGTCTCAGGCAGTGGGTAAATCTTCTATGCCCTAGGTCAGTCATCCCTCCAAAATATCTTAAATTCCTCTCATACATAATATATTAAAATATTAATTACTTATGAAACATTTCGTTAAATCAAGGAACATTGGGCCTTTATAATATTAATGAGAACATTCATTAAAAAGCATTTATGTAACAATTGCAGACTTTTTTCATGAAAAAAATCATTCAATTACATTTCCATGAGCTCTTTATTACCTCCACACTTATATTGGTTTAAACACATAAACATGTGTATACATATGCATATATACATAAATTTGTATTTTCAAGAGTATATGAAATAAATACTGAAGGTATATCATATGCTGAGCCATATGAAAACAGAACATTTGGAAAGATTTAAGCAAAACAGTATGGGTCAGGTGTTTGTACAGAAGGTCTTCATCCTATGTGCCAGAGTTCAACTCCTCACTTTGCCTCTGAATGTGGGCTTCCACTTAAGTACACCCTTAGGCACAGCAGGTGAGACCTAAATGCTGAGACCCTAAAACAATGGCTGAAACCAGCTGGGGATCCAGATTCCTGGCTTCTGCTTGGCCCAATGTGGGCCCTGGCAAGCCTTTACACTGTTCACCCACAGAAGGGAAATTCTTCTCCCTCATGTCTGTTTTTCTTTTTGTCTCTCAGTATTTACACTCACATATTAAAAAAAAACTGATAATTTAAATAAAAGATGCATTGTAGAAAGTGTTTGAAAAGGCAGTCAATAAAATCTGTAACTTTTGGAAGTGAAACAACTTAATTCAAGTAATGAAAATTTTAAAAAAATCATAATTAAACAAGGATTTTATGGTATCCACATATAAGTGTTTACCAACCAGAAAATATATGGATATATAAGCCACAAAATACATACACAATGTGTATAACTGTATTAAAGATAATGGTGAAAAATTTGTGGAAAACCTAAAAATCTCTGTGTCACAGAGCGAAAGCATAATCATGGAATTAAATACAACACGTTGAGATGTAATAGCATAATGAAGTCAACCAATCACTTCTATTTAAAAAGACACAAAGAAATGTACTTTGTAAGATTCTAGTATATTACCAAGCAGAATTAACATGTGGCACATCAAATGGGAAGTGATTACTTTGGGGAAAGAAGGAGTACTTACACAGTCCACAAAGAGGCAGTGCGTCTCCCCAGCTGTGCAAGGGTGGCACCTGATGAGCAGGTGCCTGATGTCCTCCCTACACCATAGCTTTTAGGACAATCATGAAGCTGCCAGCAAGTCACTCAGGATAAATGAATATTTTTTGCATGTTTGCCCAACATAAATTTTATTTGTATAAAAGACTTCTATAGTATATTGCAAAATTCTCACATTAAGACAGAAATGATCATAAAACAACAGAAGAGGTGGCTTCACATACTGGCATATATTGACAGGATGATATTTTGAGAGAGAAAGTATTAAGGTCATCCATCAAGAGGTAAAATCAAGCTCTGGGGAGAAGCAGGGGGAAATTATCCTGGAGACAACATAGAGCATTAGGTTAACGGAGCTAAATGCAGAGAATGCTTCTGGCATCAAAACAAATCACACACAAAGGTGCCTAGAGAAGTGTGGGCATCAGGAAGCAATGGGAAAGACATTTGTAGTGTGTCATGATTGGAGATCAGTAATCTGAAAGAAAGCTAAATATTTTATCCTAAGTCTGATAATTAGCAGCATGAAATGTTAATAAGACAATGTCCTGGTCAAATATGTATTTTAAATACCTTTTTAGTTTTTACTTACACTTTGAAAATCTGGCAACCACAAACATATCCAGCTAAAATTCCAGCTTCTTATTATGATTATCCATAAAAAAAGGTATTCTTCGTCAGTTATTCAACGACTCATTTTAAGCCAATTTCCTGAGACTTTCTGAAAACCTGACATAGATATGATATATTTAAGCAAACTAGCTTTCTTGCAATGCTGTTATCTTTATGTTTCCCCTTTAGATATAAAGAGAATGCGATGACATTATCACGGATTCACCACGATCAGCCCATGAAGCTCCTGGACCGAGCTGTCTTCTGGATCGAGCATGTCATGCGCCACAAAGGAGCCAAACACCTTCGGGTTGCAGCCCACGACCTCACCTGGTACCAGTACCACTCTCTGGATGTGATTGGGTTCCTGCTGGCCTGTGTGGCCACTGCTGCACTCATCATCATAAAATGCTGTCTCTTTTGTTACCGGATGCTTGTTAAAACTGTTAAGAGCAAAAGGGACTAGTTCAAGTATGCTAACTTGAAGGAGGGACACCTGATAGACAACAAGCCATCCCAGTTTAATTCAGCAAGCTGAGACTGCATTGTGGGTCCATTTTGCTTGCCACATCGCCTGGAGTCTGGGAGTAGGAAAAATAAATACTAGGGCTCAGTCAATTTATCTAATTGTGATGGTCACTGACAACTTGGATATAACCCACAAATAAAAAAAACCACCCTAATAACTTCATAGAGATGAATTGGATTAAACCTAAAAAAACTCTTGTCTGTTAATGTTGCTTTCCTGTTTTCCCAGTTAGTGCCTCTGGAACCACGTCCCTAATACCTTTTCTAAAATCTTGTGTGATCTCTAATTCTTTCTTCTGCTTTTAAAATCTTGTACGTTTATTTCCTTCAGATCCTATCTTTCACTCTTATTTAGTTAATTAGTGTGAAACACCTTATTTTAGAACATTAGTGTACTGGTGCACATTCCATAAGTTATGGTATGTTGTTCTTCCATTTTTTATTTTCCAATTGGAATTTTTAGCTAATCCATTGATTTCTTCATGGACACATTTATCTTATAAGAATGTTTTACTCATTTTTAGGCATTTGTAGAATGTATAAATTAATTCTTCTGTTTGATTTCTAGGTATATTTCATTATTATCTATTAAGACATTAACACTGGACATGATGTATTTCATAATCACAGATAAAATAGTACTTTTGAAATGTTCTTACTACATGCTTCTGGTGCAATGGCTCAGTGGCTAAATCCTCATCTTGCACGTTCCATGTTCCCCAGGAGTGCAAATTTGTGTCCTGGCTACTCCATGTCTCATCCAGTTTCATGCTTGTGGCCCAAGAAAGCAGTAAAATGTGAGTGGGGTCAAAGCCTGGGGATCTTGCACCAGCATGGGAGACCCAAAGAAAATTCCTGGCTTTTGACTTTGGATCACTCAGCTCTGGGGATTGAACCAGTGGACAGAAACTTTTTCTCTGACTTTGCTGCTCCCTATATATCTATATTTCTAACTAAAAAAATAAACTTTAAAATAAATAAGTCAACATTCTTACTACAAAAATGACAAATGCATGAGGTGATGGATATAATAACCATATATATATTTCATAAATATGCAAGGTTCCCATGCATATAATTAGAAAATTTTATGATGTAAGATATAGAATTATAAAATAGCAATTAAGTATATAAACAGGAAGAACAAAAATGATATTTCAAATTATGAAACTGAAATATTTATTGAGAGTGTAAATCAAGTTGATAACTCAGTAAGTATAAAAATAATTCAATCAACAATAATTAGCGTTAACAGACACTAAAATACATGAGTGCCAATAGGCATATGAATCCATGGTCAACATATGTGGCTCAATATCATTAGGGCAATTCAAGTCAAAATCACAATAGCAAGCCAGTATACACACTAACTTGCAGAGATGAAGCTAAAAAAGGCAAAAAAGCATTAGCAAAAATGTGAAGAAATTCTTTATCAAATACATTATAGGAACGAAAAAATGATGAGTTCACTATGGAACTGCAGATCTAAAAATATTAAACGTGGATTTGTCCTGTGATTAAGCATATCCTTTTCTTGCAAACTCAGTGATGATTTTAAATAGTCCAAATGAAATTATCTCAAGGTTGTAACAAAGAACATAGGCCATTATGCCCAAAACTGGGAATAAATGAATTTCAGTGAATTGAAGAATAAAAAAGCATTTTATACATAGACTATGAAATATTCTCTTGCAATGAGAAAATATGAAGTTAATAATTTAAAACAAAATTTCCTTTTCAAGGAATGAAAGTAAAACAAAAATATCCAACCCCATGATATGTAGCAAAAACGTGATTGAAAACTCAATTAATCTTATATTTGGCAAGAAGGTTGTCTTATATCAGAGAGAATATGCAATCTTTGTCCTTTGGGGCTTGATGTATTTCACTGAGCAAAATGGTCTGTAGTTGGGACAATTTGGTTTCAAATGGTACAATTTCATTCTTTTTAATGGCTGAGTAGTATTCCTTGGAATAGATTCACTACAGTTTCTTTATCCACTCCTCCTTTTATAGGCATCTGAGTTATTCCCAAGGCTTTGCTATTGTAAATTGTGTTGCAATAAATGCAAGCTTACAGGTGCCTTTCTTATATAAATAGATTTTATTTCCTTTGAAAATATTTCCAGAGGTGAGAAGCTCTGTCATACAGCAGGTCAATTATCAGTTGCTCTTAGCATTCTCTATACTGACTCCAATAGTGTAGTAGGACCTTGTGACCCCAGAAGGTCAGCAAGCACAGGTTTATAATTGATAGGATAACAGTTGTATAAAAGCAACTGAGAGGGTATCATTGGTATACTAAAGGGATATCATTTGTATGAGAATAGCTGAGTGGACAGCATATGAATGAGAACACTTGGTGGGATACACAAAACAAAAGAATCCCAGGGCCCAGCAGCGTGGCCTAGCGGCTAAAGTCCTCGCCTTGAACATGCCAGGATCTCATATAAGCGTACTGAAAAGGACAGCTCGATAAGAAAATCTTCTCTTACACAATAGAGAAATAAACTCTGTTTTCCTGAGTTGTAGAGGTACTGGAGTTACCAATAAGGTATGGTGTATGTTAGCATAGAAAATACATAAATGGTTTTTTTACATTCTCGCTGCAAAGAAATACTAAATGCATGAGGGGATGGACATAATCACTACCCATATTTGGTCAATATTCATTTTGCACATGTATCAGAATAGCAAATTATACTTCCATGGAGTCTACATTTCTCAGATATTAATATTGAAGTGTAAAAGATCTAAAGTGAATAGATGAACTCTAAATTCCAAAAGTGCTTGCAAATCATATGACTAAGATATTTGCATAAAAATACACAAGGTTAAAATATCAGTATTAAAAAGAACTCAATGGAGACATGTCCAAAGGATACGAAAAGACATTTCCCTAACAAGGATATACATGTTGTGAAAAACATGTAAAAATATTCACTATATGGAGCATAATATGGTACATTTAAGTATAACTAAGCATGCTAATTCTATACATTCCAGAATGGAAAGGAGGCCAGTCACCTTGAAAGTTTTAATTCATTGGATAAATATAGTTACCACATGAGTCAGAAATTCCACTTTTTTTCACACACTGAAAAAAATGGCAATATAGCCACAACAAAGTAGATGATAGGCTAATAAAGACAAGGTTTTGATAGCCAAAGCCAGGGACGAGACAGACAAGTGACCACCAACATAGAATGAAAATGTAGTATCTATATCCATAGTCTCAAACATTGTCTGACCATAGGTTAGAATGAAGTATACATATATGCTATAAAATGAATGATTCTCTTAAACATTACCTTAGTGGTCAGTCAATAAAAGGAGAGCACATGTTATATGGTTCTATTTATATGAAATTTTCTGTATAACAAAAGTTATACAGTAGGAAATAGGTGAACATTTGCAAGAGCTGGCAATGGGGATTAACTAAACTTATTTGGGGGGTTATTGAACTGTTCTTTCTTTTTTTCTTTTTTTTTTTAAGCTGTACTCTTTATTTTTTGTTATTGGAAAGGCAGAATCACAAAAAGAAGGAGAAACAGAGAAGGAAAGATGTTCCTTTTGCTGGCTCATTCCCCAAATGCCCAAACAATCCAAACTGAGAAAATACAGGGTCAGGAGACAGGAGATTCTTCCAGCAATCCAATGTGGGTGTAGATTCCTGAGGACTTGAGACATCTTCTAATACATTCCCAGCTGAAAGGTGGATTGGAAATGGATCATCCAGGACATGGACACACCCATACAAAATGCCAGCAATATAATGTGCAAGATTAGCTTGTTGAACCATGGTACAGGCCCCAAACTGTTCTAAAAGTAATTTCTGTGTGTTTTCAAAACTTTTGAGACTGCACTCTAAACTGTGGAATTATACAGTTAAAACAAGTGAATTATATGGTATATAAGCAAAATATTTTCATGAAGCAAGAGAAGATATTAAACACATCTAAGACGTGCTGGCTCACGTGTATTATTAGTTCATTTCTACTTCTGGGCCAATAGTCGTTATGACTTGGCAGTATCCAGTTGCAGTATGATTGTTCTTAACACTATACCAAAAACTTCTATGTAAAATTAGTGAAACAGTTGTGCTAAGTGATCAGCTATTAAATCCATAGATGTAATAGTAAAAGTGTTATTGTATATGCTCATTAAAATATGAGGTCAAATTCAATTTCTTCCATGTGTCATTCAGGAAGTCTGATTGAACTGGTGTGTGCATACTTCGACCTATGGAAGTAAAGAAAATATTTTCAGCAAACAGTTACTCATTCAGACCTGTAGTCATCCAGCTGAAGCCAGAAACTCCACGGTTGGCAGCACATGCAGTTACATATTTACAAGTGGATTACATATATCCAAAATCAATTTTGGATAAACTAATATTACTTAAAATATGAAGAACAAAGGATTAAAAAGAAAGCTTACAAATGAAAAGAGTATATAAAGGCATATACCATATATTCTTTCTTAAAAATATTTATTTATTTTATTGGAAAGCCAGATACACAGAGAGGAGTAGAGACAGAAAGATCTTCCATCCACCGATTCACTCCCCAAGTAGCTGCAATGGCTGGAGCTGTGCCAATCCAAAGCCAGGAGCCAGGAGCCTCTTTCAGGTTTTCCACATGGGTAAAGGTTCCCAACTCTTTGGGATGTCATCCACTGCTTTCCCAGGCCACAGGCAGGAAGCTGGAAGGGAAGCGGGGCCACTGGGATTAGAACCGGCGGCATTACCGGTTCTAATCCCGGCAGCCCCGCTTCCCTTCCAGCTCCCTGCCTGTGGCCCGGGAAAGCAGTCAAGGACGGCCCAAAGCTTTGGGACCCTGCACCCGCGTGGGAGACCCAGAAGAGGCTCCTGGCTTCGGATCGGCATAGTATCGGCCCATTGCGCTCACTTGGGGAGTGAATCATCGGACGGAAGAT